TCTCCCTCTCTCTCTCTGCCCCCCCGCCACACACATACACTCTCTCTCTCTCTCAAAGATAAATAAACATTAAAAAAAGAAATTTAAAAAATGTTTATACAAAGCATATGTCAGATCACATCTTTCCTCTGTTCAGAATCTTCCACTGACTTTCCATCAGACCCATAGGAAAAGTTAAAGTAAGCCCTTACAATTGCTTCCGAGCCACCCCACATATCCCTTCTATTCATCCACTCTCCCCCAAGGCCCACCCCAGCCATCCTGGCCCCTTGTTTTCCCGTGAATATAGCAGGCATGCCTTAGGACCTTTGCACTTACTATTCCCTCTTCCTCGACCACTCCCCCACCAGATAGCCATATGGCTGACTCCCTCATTACCTTCAAGTCTCACACAAAATTATGATACCCTGGGGGCGCCTGGGTGGCGCAGTTGGTTAAGCGTCCGACTTCAGCCAGGTCACAATCTCGCGGTCCGTGAGTTCGAGCCCCGCGTCGGGCTCTGGGCTGATGGCTCAGAGCCTGGAACCTGTTTCTGATTCTGTGTCTCCCTCTCTCTCTGCCCCTCCCCCGTTCATGCTCTGTCTCTCTCTGTCCCAAAAATAAATAAACGTTGAAAAAAAAAATTAAAAAAAAAAATTATGATACCCTGAAGACCCTTATCCTCCTGTATTTTTTGTTTTTTAACAAAAGTTTCACTGAGATAAGTTTGCCTCTTCAAAGTGTTCAATTCAGTGGGTTTTAATTACTCACTAAGGTATACCAACCAGCACTACAATCAGTTTTAGAACACCAGTGTTTATCACCCCAGCAAGAAACTTGATAACCATTAGCAATCATTGCCTTCTCCCTCCACCTAGCCACACTCTATATTTGTACTCATTTCCTTTTTTAAAATTATTTATCTCTGAATATATTCTTACAGAGAGTAAGTTGAGATATTTATTTTGTTCACTGATGTAATCCCAATGCCAAGAATACTGCCCGGCACGTAGTACGCCTTCAAGAAATATGAAGGAGGAGGGATGGAGGGAAAGAGAGGAAGAGAGAGGGAGGGAGGGAAAGAGAGGGAGGGAGGGAGAGAGAGGAGCAGAAAGGCAGAGAGAAGGGAGGGATTGTCAGGAAGGTTGGGTGTCTCCAGTTTGAGCAGTGATTTGCCATGTTTATGCACCCTCTAATTCAGGGCTGTGCTCTTTGAGTCTGGCCATTCAGAACAAAATAATAAAACTGTATTTACTTACGATTCTATTGATTGCCAAATTACTTGACTGTTGTGTTCTTGATGGGACCGGAGCATTGATCTCAGAAATGCTGGATTATGTCGAAGTATGAGTTGGTGTGAAATTCTAGACAGTTCTGAACCATGAAAGATTCAGGGTCCAGAAGGCAACTTGCACCTCTTCCCAAAGGAATTCTTGTATACACAGGACAGGCACATAGCTTGCCCCTCCAGAAAGAGAAGTCATAGCTGATTGAAGCCGTTGTGAGCCCTGTGGTCATTAGGGAGCTGATTTCCTTGCACCTGAATTTGGAAATTGTGCTTGATTCTTATCAGACCCAGAAGTCACAAGATGCCACCAGTCACAGGGTCTCCAGCTACCAGTTGGCTATTGTTCTTAAACTTCTGGGTGCCCCGGACCCTTTTGACAGTCTGGTGAAGCCTGTGGACCCTGCCTCAGAATAATATTTTTAAATGCATGAAATAAGTGGACACATTTACAAAGGAGGCTGATTATATTAAAATTCAGCTACTGAGGGGTGCCTGAGTGGCTCAGTCGGTTAAGGAGCCGACTTCAGCTCAGGTCATGATCTCACAGCTCGTGAGTTCAAGCCCCACATCAGGCTCTGTGCTGACAGCTCAGAGCCTGGAGCCTGCTCCAGATTCTGTGTCTCCCTCTCTCTCTCTGCCCCTCCCCTGCTCATGCTCTGTCTCTCTTCTCAAAATAATAAACATTAAAAATGAATAAGTAAAATTCAGCTCCTAAATCTTTTTAATCAAAATTGCGATGTAGTCATTCTACACTTTTATTAGCACATTATGTAACAGGATCTAACAACAGTTTTGATGACTCCATTATTTTGAAGCAGTGATGTGTGCGAATGATATTTTGAAATCTTCAATAATTGGAAAGGTATAAGAAAGTGTCTGCCTTTTAACAGCTCCCCAGAGATTTGGTTGTAGCAGGTCCAAGCGGCCCCCAGAGTGGGGTGGTGTCTGTGTGGACATAACCTGGGAAGAGCTCCCTCACTGACTCTGCACTGGCATCCCAAAGGTTTCTCCTGGGAAACGTTAAGGATCCCTCTTGGAGTCTGGCTCCTGGGCTGGGGCCCTACCGACTTCTGGCACTCTTCTAGGAAAGGATTTGCTAAATAAATCTGTACTTCACCAAAGCAGGCAGCCTACAGGAGCGGCTGGCCGCATGAACTGTTTTTAAGGACAATTTGCTCTGTAAACTAGACGCTGTCGTTCTCGTTGAATGTTGACTTTCACATACGAATTGTTGGCATACAAATGGGGTGCTGCTAATTACAAAGGGGTTTTGTACGTTCATTAAGTCAGCCTCACAGAACGTGTGTGCAGAAACACATTGATAAGCCACCTCAGCGACTGGAGGTAATAAAAGTGCCTTCTTTTCTGATCTGACTGTAATTTAGAGTGGCTTGCTCTGTGGTCTGAATCAATACAAGCCTTGCTGTCTCTGTGTACATAGAGAGCCGTTCTTCATATTCAGAGATTACTCTACCAGTGTGGATTATAGAAACTACTGTTTTTCTGCAAGGGCGAGATGCAGTGAGTTCGTTCCCGGATATCCCTGCTCTTCTGGAATCAGGCTGCCCAGTGTCAAGAGCCGAGCCCCTACCCATGGCCTTCTCAGTAGTCAGTAATAATAATAGCAGCAGCTGATGTTACTGAACCAGGGAACTATGATAAATCCACATGAGTTATTTCCAGTGTAATGACTGTTGTCCACACTGGCAGGAATGGAGGCAAGAGGAGAATGAGCAACTTGTCTAAGATCAACCATACCCATGAGCTGGAAGGCTTGGGACTGAACTTTTCCGCCTCGCCTCTAGACTGCCCTCCCTCTGGGAGAAGCCCATTGGATGTTTCTACATGTTACAGGTACAGTGAGGGCTGTGTTCCAGCTCTGAGGATCTGCCATTTGGTCTGTAGGATGCATCGTGGATGCTCTCCTCTAAACATAATCAGAGGTGCAAAAAGTCACAAAGGATTCTATCCAGATGGGGACCACCCTGTGGGCTGAGACTTCTCCCTATAGCTTCAGACCCTGCCTATAGCTTCAGAGCATCACATTAAAATTCAGAACTTGGTCAATCAGGATGTCCCGAGCACTTGTCTTTGTCCAGCCTATTATGGCTTGGTGCGAAAATACGTCCACTCTTTCTGGAGCACCTACCGTGTGCCAAGTGTCTGAAATAGATTAAAGGTATTCCCATTTCACAGATAAGAAACTGAGACTTGGAAGGATATGTGTCTTGCCCAAGGCCACATAGCTGGTAAGTGGCAGTGATAATTCAAACCCAGTTTTTTCTTTCTCTGCCTTGATTCACTGTGTTCCAATTCAGCTTCGCATCACGAACACCTAACACATCACTCCTAGTGTGGGAAATCGCTGTCGCATGTCAGTGAATAATGGGATGGCACACAGCGAATGAGTCTGTGAAAAAAAAGATCTGAAGAAAATGAGGGGAACTCCTGATGAAGGTCCACT